GGTCTTCCCCGCCATCCACTCCGGTAAGTCCCTTTTTCTTCTGCAACTTCATGTATTCTGATTTAAAGCAGCATTAGTCGGGCATGTGACCATGCTCCACACAGGCCTATGAGCTCTTTCCAGACAAAGACTATGATCCATTCATTTCTTTTAAAATTTTTATTTATTTTTACAGCTGACAAATAATAATTGTACATATTCGTGAGATGCATAGTGATATTTTGATACATATAATGTATAGTGATCAGATCAGGATAATTAGCATATCCATCATCTTAAACAGTTATTATTTCTTTGTGTTGGGAAGCTTCAATATCTTCCTTCTAGCTATTTGAAACTATTTAATATGTTAACTATAGGCATCTTACAGTGGTATAAAACACTAGAATTGATTCCTACTATCTAACTGTAATTTTATAGGCTTTATAAAATCTCTCCCTACCCTTCCCTTCTAAAATCAGCATCCAAATCTCAACTCACATCTGGTGTCCAGGGGATCTCTCTTGGACATTAGGGATGAAACCTAGTGATCATTATTATTAAGGAAATAACCACAAGGGGGCAGTACCAACGGGCCTCATAAGGATTATCCTCCCTGTTGGTCCAGGAGACAGGTGTTCTGCGTAAGAGCCCTTTTGGCTAAAACAACAACCCTGAGGGGCAGAGGAACCAAGGTGTAATATAACCAAATTCACTTAATCAAAAAAGTAAACAACAATGTAAGTGTGGGAGGAAAACTGGAAGCAAATTAGAAAAAGAACAATTTTTTTGGAAGCTTTTGAAAACTTTTGGAGTTTTAATAAAGTTTGGGTAACATATGGAATATAGCTTTTCCTGCAGAGTATTATTTGTTCTTTTTTTTATCAAAAATTGGATAATTTTATTAGCAAACCAACAAACTCATAACACATTCTGTGTTATTAAGATACATTTAGATCCGCAAAGAGAGCTAAAAATAATTAATGCTATTTTCTATTATTCTTCCTCAAATTTTGTTACTTCTCTCCCTCCACACTCCTCCTAATTGTTGTCTATGGATTTAAAATGTTTTAAATTTAGAATTAGGGTTATTTTCTCATTTATTTGTTATTGTTGTTTTGCTGATTTTTTCGAATTAAAAATAAGTAGAAGGCCATAAAAAGTTTGAGATATGCTATTTTCCTAGCATTATTGGAGATCAGAGGTTTTCCACAGATAATTCTGGACAAATACGGGGCAGGGCTGGGTAGGTAAGGTTGGAGAAGGGCCACGGAATACTGGTGGGCCTTATGGGCCTATGCTTAGGAACTCATGGGATTCACCCATATGGAGGGCTGGAAAATAAGAGAATTTTGAGAAGTAGTTTTTTAGGGGAAGATTTTTTAGGGAATACCGCAACAAGTCAAGAGAGAGACTTCAGAAAGACCCCAGGGAAGGCTCACCTGTGTCCCTAAGGCCGAAGGGCACAGGGGCCTACTGAGTGACTCCTACCTGGAAAATTCCACGGCAGGAGAGAGGTGTGCTCCCCGCAGCTTCAGTGGTGACGGTGGAAGGCAGGTTGCTGCTGCTCTGAGCTCAGGTTTCATTCCTGGAGCTTGTAGGGGCCAGGACTTTGCATGTTTTCCAGGGTCTGGGTGTGGGCCACGAGCGAGAGGGGGGCTGACGTAGACCCTGTCCAATATAGCTGCCTGGAGAGGTGGGAGCCGTGGCAGAAAGCAGCTGCAAGTGGATGGCTGGCTTTCTAAGGGGCCGGGAAAGGAGCAGGCAAAGACCCCCGAAGAAGATGAGCCCACTGGGTACTGCATGTCGTAGGCGAGGATCTCCAGAGATGGAGGGTCTCTGAAAGGCACGAAGCAGAACCTAATGTGAGAGTTGGTGGGTTTCAAGCATTTACCAGGCCCGGAGAGTGCAAAGCCAACTTATAACCAGGCCAGTCAGGGGAGAACTTCCTTACTCACCTTACCCCTACCTTCTGCAAAGGGCTCAGAGACAACAGTCAACAAGTCAGGAGGAGCTGACTAGGACAGAGAAGAAACTGACGGCGATCACAGCTTCCTCCTCGCAGCAGGAGACGGAGCTGGGGGAAGCAGTCTTGCCTTTGAATGAGGACCGAAGTGCAGATGATTTTGTTGCCTGGTGTTATAATTTCTGAACTGTGGCTGTGTTTTTGCAACTTGAATCACCATATGGCTTTGTCCTAATTATGAATGGCTAGAAAAGTCTTGAGACAGGTTGTTTTCCTCCAGGGACACGAGTTTCACTGAGCGTATTTAAAAAGAGAGAACAGTGAGAGACAAAAATAAAATTGCTTTGCCATGGCATACCATCATCTGTGTTTGCTCTACATACTAGACTCATCCTCCATGTGAAAGACTGAAGGGAAATACAACAACATCTTAACAACAATGGTCTTTTGGGAAAAGAATGAAAAAATTAAGATTAATGGGTAAAAATGGTTTCTGGTTCAAGTCCTGCTTGCCTGTGGTGGGGTTGGGGTGAGAGGGTGCTGGTAGAGGCCAGTCCAGGTGTGGGAAGATGAAGGATGATGGTGAGGAGGAAGAGTACATGCCTGTTTGAGTGTCTTCACCTCATTTCCCTAATGAGCTGCCCCTCACAATACTCGGTTGGCCCAGGAACTCTGAGCTGGCACCCAGGTCTAAAATTCCTTGATGGCCATCTGCCAACCCTATACTCTGGACAAGTCCTCATAACCTATTGTCCTTGTCACATTCCCACAGGGACATCCTGGGTATGGAGTCTGGTGTAAGGGTTGATGATGGTGTCTGAAGCTTCTCTTCCCAGCCTTCACCTCCTGACCTAGGTCTTCAGTGAGCATTAGCGCATGGATTTCAGGCCAGATCAGATGAGTGTACACCTTAGAGCAGGGTTTTCAACCTCAGCACCAGTGGTATTTGGGACCGAGTAACTCTTTGTGGTAGAATTGTCCTGTGCGTGTAGGACGGTTAGCAGCATCCCCAGCCGCTACCCACTATGCGCTCCCCATCCCGGGTCCTGACAACCACAAAGGCCTTCAGACATTGCCAAACGTCTCCTGGATGGCAAAATCATCCCAAGTTGAGAATCATTGCCTTAGTGGTAACTGACTATCACATCCAAAAGAATAGGGCCCCCAAATTGGGGGCCCTTGGGAGGTGTTTCTGCCAGGAAAGTAGTTAAAATGGTGTCCTGTCAGGGTCAGGATTCCCCAGACGGCAGTGGGCACTGTTGTGGACAAAATGCTTGTGTCCTCCCAAGGTTCATGCGTTGAAGCTCTCACCCCCAGTGCAACTGGATCGGGAGACAGGGCCTTCAAGAAGGTGATTAAGGTTAAAGAGCTCATAGGGTAGGGCCCTAATGTGATAGGACTGTGACCTTATAAGAGAGGAAGAGGCAGCAGGGCATGTGCCCTCCCTCCCGTGCACAGAGGAAAGGCCATATGAGGACACGGGGAGGAGACAGCTGTCTACAAGCCAGGAAGAGAGGCCTCACCAGAAACCCAGCCTGTGGCACCTCGACCTTGGACTCCCACCCTCCAGAAGTAGGAGAAGGTCAATGTCTATTAAGACCCCGGTCTGTGGCATGCTGCCTGAGACAGGCCCTGGATTCACGCCTCTGCGAGCAGAGGCAGCCCTGGGGTCCCCTGGAGTCACGAGTAGCTCTGCCTCACGCGGATGTTTGCTGGTCTGTTGGGTGGGGTGTGTCCCTCTGAAGCCAGATGGGAGGGTTCTTTGCAAAAACGACCGTGATTAAGCACTGATATTTACAACGAACGCTTCCATCGACCAGCCTCGCCACTCTTCCGCCACGTGCTCCACAGCCCACGCCTCCTACCCGGCCCCACTCGTCACCCTCCCTTCTCTCTTTCTGGGAAACCGCAAATGCTGAACGAGTAGAATATTTTGGTTGTTTAATTATTTTTTTTAACTGAGCATTAAACTTTTGGTGGGGGGAGGTGTCCACAGTTTTGTGTTGAAAAGTCTTTTTTAAAATATGCATTTATTTCTTAAATATACTTTTGTCAGCTGAGGATTTTGTGGGTCCTGGAGTTTTCATTCTGAGCATGATTTCCTATTGTATGAGACTGCAAGGGAATACAGTGTAGAAGCCTTCACTAGTGTGGATGGATTCCAGAATGTTTCTGGGATATTGTTTTCACAGTATCTGTTGTTAGCTTGGCATTTCAGCTCTTTCTTCTAAAACCCAGGGAAAGGAGGGGAAGCAGCCATCCTGGTCCATTTCTCTGTGTGGAAAATGAGGTTGTAGTGTCCCCTCGGCTATATTTGGAACTGCCGTGCCTGGTCCCAGGGCCCCCATGGTAGACACAGGTACCAGCACCTGGCTTCTTGTTGGTCATTTTATGGGGTATGAATGGTCAGGCAGAGAATATGAAATCTCTTGAGACCCTCTCAGAAAATGGGGGTGGCTGCTTCTTGTGTGCTTTGGAAGAACTAGATTCAGCATGGGAGGTGCTGCCCGGGGTCAGGGCTGTGGTGTGAGCTGAGCTGCCGCCCAGGCTTCTTCTGTCTGTCCCTCATTGCGCTCTCTGGCCACCATTTCCTCCAGCCTGGAACATTCCACTTTGGAAGCATCTCCCTGCACACAGGCTCACCCCTCTAAGTGATTTACGTGGGACATTCCTGATGAGTGTCTAACAACTTCTAACTGTCCTGTTACTTCTTAAAACTCACCAGGGGCCTCTTAATGTTTTTAGATTAAAATTCAAGCCAGACACAAGAGACTGCATGTCATGTGATTCCTTTATAGGAAATATCCAGAAAAGAGAAAACTATGGAGACAGAAAAGTAGGTCAGTGGTTGCTGGGGTGGGAGGGGGAGGTGGGATTAAATGTGCATGAAGGGTCTCAATGGAGTAATGAGAATGCTCTAAAACTGATTAATGGTGATGGAAATTTACTTGACATTCACTGAGTTATACACTTGATATGGGCAAATGTCCTGCAGTCCCAGTCATCCTACCAGCCCAGTGCATCCATGTCAGGCCTGCCTGGGATGTGTGTTATACACGGAGACCCTGGGTCCCTCCAGGTCCCTGGATCAGAATCTCTGGGAGTAGGGCTTGGAAATCTACATGTTGACATGCTCTTGGGTGATTTTGTTTTTTTAAAGCTTGTGAGAGGAGGGGAACTGTGTCTACCTTATTCATTTGTGTATCCCAAAAACCTAGCCCAATGGAGAGCATGGATGAGGAGCTCAGAAGTACTTCTTGATGGGTGAATAAATGAATGAACTCTACAATCACAGAAATCGAACTGAGGCAGAAGAGGAAGAGGGCTGCTGCCTCAGTGTGGTGGCTTCCTCACCCTCCTGGGCCACATTCCCCATTTGGAAGGCAGGGCAGTGGACTAAGTGAGCCACAGGGCTTCCTCCTGCCTTGATCACTGATAGCACCATGCAGCCCTGTGAGGGGAAAAAGACTAAGAAAGAAAATCAACCACAACCCAAAGATTTGTTGTCAGTTTTAATAGGAGGGGCAGAGTCAAAAAGTTGAGAGAAACGTATAAAAAGACCTTTTACTTTTTGCCGGAACATGGTATGGTTTGTGCATAGCACATACATATTAAAAATAGAAGCATCGCATTTCACAAGCACAAGACTGCACAGCTTCTGGGCTCTCCTACCCGCTGTACCTGAGCTTGAGGACAGCTGTGCACTGGGACCCAGCCCGAGGTACGTCGATTTACAGAAAGAGAAAACCACTTGAGGACACAGCGGTCTGAACTGGCATTTCAGTGGTTCAGTGAGGTAAACAGACATGGCTGTGGGCCATCTGCATGGGGCACTAGACTCAGGGTCTGTGTGTGCCGCAGTCACATCCTGCCCCTGGCCCGGGAAGAGGCAGCATCAGCTCCGATGTAAGCATGTACTGGAGAACTTCTTCCAGCCTGGGGTCCCAAACATTCCTACCTGGGGTTTTTCTGGGAGGTAGAGGATGAATGGCTGGTTCCTTGCAGGGAGGAGTAAATATTAGACATACTTGGCAGACACAGGCGTAGCAAGTGAAGGAGAATTCCTCCTCCATGACAAACAACCCAGAGTCTTTGGGGGAAACATGGGGATAGGAAGATGTGGGAGTTTTCTAGCTTGTGTCCACATGCAAAGGGGCAGAAGAAGAGAGAGCGCAGAGAGAACATCCTGGTGTCTTGGGGGCCAGTGACCGCATTTGGTGTCAGTTTGCTCAGTGACTGCAGCCGTGCCACATCCAGCACTGTGAGGAAGGAGGGCTACAGCTCGTGCGCCTCTCTCCTATTGCGTTCTTCCCTTGGGACTCCCACAGAGAGAGGACTTGAAGTGTCTGAGATCTAGGACAAGAAAGGGGCCCAGAGCCAGTGTAGGAAGAATTCTAAACTGCCCGGGGTAGGAGTGGGGTCAGGAGAGAATTTCAGACCTGGGTTACTGGCCTGGGGAGACACCTATGTGTCTAAAGAGGAGAGAGATTTGTACCCTGAATCGGATGGGAAGGGAAAATGTTCTCTTTCTCAAGACATAGAATAGCCCTGACCAAGGGCTTGGCATGTGTGTTAGAGGTATTGTGGGATGTGGTGGCAGAGGGGAAGGCTGTGGAGGATAATGATAGGGTGTTAATTACAAAATTATATGCTACTTTCCAGAGAGGTTCAAAAATGCATGGGAAGTGGGAAGAGAAGGGGTGTTAGAAGGCAGCAAATGATGAAGCAAACATAATCAACAGCTTAGACAAGGCCTTTGGAGTTTTCTGGTTTCCTATGAGGTCCATCCATTGCCCCAAAGACAGCAGAGGTTTTACAAGGGGCCTGGGGCTCCCCCATTGCCTCTGGGCTAACCTCTTTCCTACTGAGAAGTCCATCTTCAAGGGTGTTACAGACATGCTGCTCTCTTCTTTACCATTTGCTCTTAAAGAGGGAATAAAACAGCCTCTGGGCTCTTGGAACTTCAAGTTTGCATGGAGCTGCCAGAGAAGGTTCAGGGTAGAAGACAGGCCAATTAGCTACAAAACTCTATAAACCAGGATCATTGCTTAGGATCTGGGGGAGCGAGGACCCAAGTCATTCACAGTATAATCTCATTGGAAGGTGGGGGACTCTGCTTCCCCAGCCTACAACAATATCTCTGCAGCCCTTGGGATCCAGTGGGGCTGACAGCCGAGTTCAGGATTCAGTGGACATGTGACCAGGTAGGAAACAACTCTCCACACCTGTGCACAGACATAGCAGCAGGAGAGAAGGGACTGAAATGGCCCCTGCCAATCTTACTCTGTTTCTGTCCTTCAACCCAATCTGTAGATGGGGATTGACTTTTCTTAAGCCCAAGTGACTTATGAGTCAAAGAGAAAGCCCTTGAGAGAGTTCCTTTGCATGGGAAAGATTTTAAAGAATCAGCCACACATCACTATATCCAGGGATGATATTCAAAACACTTCACAGCTAGTACAGCATGGGCCCCGGCACCAGTTAGAACAGGCACGCAGCCCTCGTAACCAATGCCAGTCGTAGGCAGGCAGCATGCTGGTACCACGACATAGTGGCTGCATATCAAGCCTGCTTGATCCGAGGCATTCCGTAGCTTCTCCTTCTCATCCCTAGTTGAAAAATGGGAATGCACACTTGGGGAAAGTCCTTGTCAGGATGTGAGCAATTCTGTGAGCCTCTAGAGAGATGTAGGAAAGGTCTAGCAGTCCAAGGCCTTGCAGACTCTGTTTAGAAGACTGCCCCATCTCATGCCAAGTTAGCCTTCGGATCTAAGAAGAAAGGAACTAGTGCTATGGGACCTAAAACTTTTCTCCAGACCACTGTCAAAAACTGTCTACCTAGCCATCCTACACTCCCAGATCCATCAGAAATTGATACACACCTCAGGTTCTGAGTATCTCCGTTTCTGGTGTACCCTGTTAAGGAGACTGATTACACTGGACGAGACTGCCTGTAAACAACAAGCTTTGCCTCTGCCTCCCAGCAGACTTGCACTTCAATATCCCAGGCAGTCACAATGGACCAGTTTTCTCCCTTTTCCACTGCATCCAGAAGTCGGCCGTGTGCACATGTGCTCCTGAGCTCCTTCCATTTGTCCCATCTGCTCATGTTGGAGTGGCCTTTTCCTCCTCACCCAGCACATGAGCTCCCTGATATCTGCGGGGCAGAGAGGTGGCCAGCATAGTGTCTCTCCCTTGGATTTCCAACCTCCATCTTCAGCTCAGAATCCCTCAGCCCTGTCTATCTATAGCTGGATGCATCTGCAAATAGAGAGGTATGTTGAAGATGAAGGCATTTGCAACAGATGAGGGATTGTCTTGCAGGCCAGGGCCCCAGAAAGTAGCAGAGGGTGTCAGGTCATTTTGTAACTCGATGGTTCACATATGCCAAAAATATTTGCACTCTGATATGGCTCTCTCTGGTTTCAGATTTAGGAACATTCCAGTGGTTCAGGAATCTGAAGGCTCCATGCAGACAACATTTATAGTCACTTGGGGAACCTCTGCTTTAAATACTCTCAAAGGACAGGAGGCAAGAAGGCATTGTACAGCAAGGAGCTGCTTCAGCTTGGCTATGTGATTTCACAGGATTATCACTCCTCTCTTACTGTAGGGAGGGAGAGGGGGCAGACTCTGGAGGTCATGGTGCCCATTCTACAGCATCCAGTCTGCAGCGTGCAGGGGGGATGAGGGTGAGCAAGAAGGAAGTGAGGGTATCAGATGAGAACTTGGGTGAGTTTCCTGGACAGAATTGGAGAGGAATTATCATCTGTAGTCCAAAGCCTCTCTACTTACTTCCTTCATGCCCTATTTTGCACCCCCACTCCAGTCCTCGCCAAAGAGGTTGCCATTATTAGGATCCTTGTCATCTGAGGTTAAAATAAGCCCTGGTTCAAAGTGAGGAAAAGTTATGGGCAGGCAGCCTGGCCCCTGCTTGTTCTCGGAGCCACACATAGCATTGGGTCCTCCAGGCAGAATGGCTCTCACAGGACATTTAGTCCCTTCTGCTTCCTCCACAGACCTTCTTCCACTGCCGTTGATACTACCTATTTCCTCCAAGAAGGGGACATGTTCTTCCCCAGCTTCCCTGACAATGCATCCCTGTGTCCCCAGAACCCTCACAGGCAGGAAGCTTGGAGCACCTGATTGCTCTCTTTCTGGTCTGCAATTAAACCTTACACCCCTTCAGTCTGCCCTCCCTGCACTTTGAGGACAGCTGTTCCCCACCACCCGTGTGACCCATGCAGGCCGTGGCCTCTGAATGGAAGGATGATTGGAAAGAGGCAGAATGGGAGCACATATCAATCCTGTTGGTTTGACAAGTGACATTCTTGCAGGCAGATTCCTGCAGCCATGATGCTGGGAGAAAGAAACCTGATGCTTTGAAATGCCTTTGCTCTGAGAATATATATGAAGATGTATGGATAGACACTGACATACACATAGCCCTGCCCTGGCCCCTTCCTGTGCACATGGTCACATTCCACAAATGTCATCAATACCTTCTTTCCTCAGGTGAGGTCAGAGCATGGGATCCACTGCCATTCTAAGATTCTGGTTGCAGCCTTCGCTTGGGTGGGTTACACGCCATGGGTCCCAGTCTCTCCAAGCACAAGATAAGCCTGACTCAGAAGTTCCTGAGGGCAAGGAGAATTGTTCGCCTGTGCAAAATTCTGATAGAAAAGATGCTGCTTTCAATCTGTGAGCCTTCTTTTATGGGTCCTTATATCCTGGGCAGGAAGTGGGTGACAGTCATGGTCGGGGACACTTTGCTGCCCCGCTTTACCCGTCCATATTTGCTCAGTGCGATGTAGGTCCCTGGGTACAAGTCTGACTCGTAGGCATTGTAATTGTTGGGCAGGAGTGTTTCTCTGAACTTGCATTCCTCTTGGAAGCTGGGCTGTGAAGGAAATGGACAAAGACTTGATTATCAGTGAGGAGCGCTGTGGACACGAGCTAAGCCATGTAGCGCAGGCCCCTCCCCTCCCCTGGTAAGGCAGCACCTGGAGAGCTGGGCCACCCCAGTGAACAGAATGATGACAGGTTAGAATGGGAAGAGATGTCAGTGCCATAGAGGGATGGTCTGTGCCACGTGGGGTGGAGCTGAAGCTATACTGTCCAAGTCTCCTGACTTCAAGTTTAGGGCACTTTCTACTATGTCCCTAGGGGGTAATTTATTCCATTCAGAGAAAGGAGCAAAAAAGGACACAATACACTGTTTTCTCAAGTCCCCTGGCAGAGGAAGACTAGTGGAGGAGGAATGAGAGCCCGGGGTTCTAGTTAGAGACTTTTCTACTTCCTAGTTGTGTGACCTGCAGGGGGTTCCTCCCCCCCAGCCTCAGTCCCCTTTCTGCAAACTGTGTGGTGGGGAGCAGGTGGGGGTGTGCAGGGGGTGGAGAGACCGACGATCTCTCAAGTCTTTTCCAGCACCATCCATGTCTTTCCACTTGTGGTTCCTCAGTCTGTCTTTCTTGGGTTAAGTCTTTGCTATCCTTCAAAGAGGCCCATTCCCAGTTTTGACTTTAAGCCAAGAAGATGTTGGTGCCTTCTAGACATGCATAGTTCTCCAGGGACCTGCAGGAACAGGGATGGTGAGGAACATGATTTTTAAAATAATTTTTATAGGGAAAAGAGCCTGGGTCCCCATGTGACAGGTGGTGCCAAGGAGTCTGGGGCCAGTGATAAGTTGCCCCCTTCAGTGCTAATTTGGTAGAGGAGCGTGTGTGTACCACCTGTTCAGAAAATGAATGTCGGACTTCCTGTCACACATCGACAAGTTCATTCCCAATAAATCACCCAAATCTACCTTTCTTCCTAGAAAAGAGGGCCCTTCCCTCCCCAGCCAGCCCGGGCCTCTGGCCTGAGGGAGCCTGCAGGGATCTCTGTGCTCTTGAGCGGAAGCAGTTAGGTGGGGTGGAGAGGAAGAGGGAGTGAGGTGGGAGCCAGAGACCTGAGATCAACTCAGTAAAAGAAACATCGAATGAGAAATGGGTGGAGTATAGTTTCTGACTCCTTCCTGCTGAATGAGGCCATCGGCTATTAAAAAAACCCACTCGATGTCTGCCTGGCTGTGCCAGCAGTATCCTCTGTGAAGGAATCACCCTGCCTAGCTGGCAGTGGGTGGACGAGAGCCTCTTCCTGTTCCGAACTGGATGATAACAAGTCAGCTCTTCAGGGCCCCTCAGACTCCCAGTGTCCTCTGAGTAGCCCTCTCCAGTAGGCTTTTAAAACTGTGCGATGCCTACGGACATGTCTTTTCCCAACAGACTCCAAGATCCCTGCAACAAGGATTGTGTCTCATTTGGTACGTGATGCTGAGTGAATGACGACTGCAGGAGGACAACACTGAAGCCTAAGGAGGCCCCTGCATGGGTGGCTCTGTTAATGTGGTGGGAGAGCGGGCTAGGGGCAGCCAGTCCTCGGGGAGCACAAGATCTCCTCCCCACACATCTTACTCATTCTCCTCTCATGCTCCTGCTCACATACTTTCAGGTATGTTGATTTGCTTGAAATAAATGTGAAAGCTTTCACCAGCCATGCCAACTGGTGGGTGAATATCATACCAGGGGGGTGGGTTTTCACAAGCTTTCCTTTTTTCCCTTGTGGGTGCTCAGTAAATATTTGTGGAATGGATGAATGAAGGAATGTCCCAAAGGTAAAGAGGATAAAGTAATCAAAGAAGGTAAAGAGCACATTTGTTTTACAGCTTTGAGGTTTCACTGATGATGATCACCTCTTACATAGCCATGTGAACTTGAGCAAATTACTTCCTTTTAAACCTCAATTCCCTCATTTGTAAAGTAGGAACAAGAAGAATAATTATGCCAGAGACTTAGAGTGGGCATCAATTGAAATAATGTATGGAAAGTCATGGGAACAATGCCTGGCATGTGGTAAAATAAAAAAATACTACTACTACAACTAGTACTACTATTATTCTCCAACTGAATCATGAACACTTTACATTTAAAGCCCTAAAAGACTTCACCTTATCCTGGATTACCAATCCTGTAAAACTTGCTGTGAATTATTGACAATTTAGTTTTAAGCTCTGCAGTTTTTGAATGACTGGGACACAGTGAGCTTGTGGATGAGCATGGAGCTGGGATCAGGAGAGAGGCTGACATGAGCTCACTGGAGCCTCTCTGCACTGTGGTTTCTTTACCTGAGCATGAGGTAGAGTCAGCCACAGGATTTAGATTGTTGATGGGCAAAACTCAGGAGCAATGGCACTAAGAGTCACTAAATTTAGGATTGATTGTAAAAGTTACATGAGAAATAAAGCTACATTAATGAAAAGTCTGGTACAGATCAATGAATGAAACAGAGTCCATAAGTAGATCCAAACACATACATAAATATAAAATAAAAACGAATCTAAAATGAATATAAAGTAAAAGTGTCATTTAAAATCATTAAAGAAAACATGGTGTTGGAACAACTAAGCAATATCTTCTAACAGTAATGAAGTTTGATGTATGACTTTGTTCTTTACATCAAAATAGATTCCAAAAGGTACAAAGATTTAGATGTAAAAAGAAAACCATTGAAGTCCAGAAAAAAAAATTTTAAATCATTTCAGAATCAGAAATATCTTCCTAACTAGGACACAAAGAAGTTATAAATTTTAAAAAATTAATGCAAAAAAGGAATACATTTGTCTTCTCTCTGAAAAATATTACCTTAAATAAAATAAAAATATAAATGGCAAACTGGATTAAACTATTTATAATACACATGTGTCAAATAGTACATTTTGTTATTATAGTCAGAAGCCTAAACTCACTGGAAAATGGACAACCTTTATAAACACAGAAAAGGAAATATAAATAAATTCACAGAAAATTCACAGAAAAGGAAATATAAATAGCATTTAAGCATAAGAAAATATGCCTAATAAGAGAAATGTAAATCATAATTGTGAGATCACATTTTTAATGGCCAGATTGCAAAGAGAAAAGAGTTTGATCCTATACTTGCATTGGTGAGAGCACAGAAACTCAGAATTCTTGTTTAATGCCCTTTGTTTGGTGTATATTGTTACTAACTCTATAAAGAGCAATTTGACAGTATCTATCAGAATAAAAAATGAATATAACAATTGATCAGCAATTCTACTTCTAGAAATTTATCTTACTCATACCCTCTCATATATGCACAAAAGCCACTGCAGCATTATTATAATGGTGGTCTCCTCTTTGTTGAGTCACAGCCCCCTCCACCCACTGCCTCCCCTCTGTTCTAACATTGTATGTCCCTGAAGACTAACCCGCCCAGTTAGTTCCCAGGAGAATTTATTTCTGATCCAGATGGTGGTTAAGGGAGAGGTTTGGTGTATTGTTTGCAAACTCTAGAGAAGAAATCAAATCTTGGGGCAGAGGGTACAGGGCAGAGAAAGGAAGGGGGCAGGAACCGAGAGACTCTAAGGGCATTGCCTGCATGCCACTGTCTAGAATGTGTCCATCTGAGAATCCAGCCTTTCCTGAATGTCCAGGTCTCCTAAAACACCACTTAAGTGTACATGACCGTGGTTGTATAGTTTGTACTTTGTTCTCTGCTCACCAGATTTTGATCATTCAAATTTCTCCCTCCCCAATTTTTTTTAAAGCTTGCCATTTTTTTTTTCTATTCAGCACTTTTCTCTAGCCTATCTCATATCCCTGGCCTTCACCAGATCCTGCACAAACCTGAACTGAAAAAAGAAGAGTAGACAAAGCTGGCTTTAGAAGCTGTCTGCCTTCCCTCGCTGCTCCCTCGCCCCTCCCTCAGCAGCCCCATCCATGGGGTTCACGTGGCTGGGAGGCTGGTGGCAGGAAGTGGAGATAATGCATTTTCCCTGGACTCTTCGATGCAGCCCTGGTGCTTCAGGCTGATGGGATTTTCCCACTGGCCAGAGCCGTGGTCAGGACCCAGACCTCAACTCATGTCCAGTGTGACCCTGGGCTTTGAGTTCTCATGGCTCAGGAATGTTGGCTCCTCAGCTCTGGTGAGAAAAGCACTCGAGCCAAGTGAATGCCGTGTTAATAAAAGCAGCTACCGTATATTATTACTTGAACAAATGAAAATAATTCCACTGGATCGTATTTCCTGGGCCTGCTGGGCTCAAGCCACAGCGTGACAATGTCTTAAATTCCACGTAGGTCTAAACAGACTTATGTGGAACCAAATTCCACTAGAAAGAGAAGCATTTAGTTCTCACCATGGAGAAGGGCATTTTGTAGATGAGCACATCGTGGGTGTTTCAGGGTGAGTTTCCTCTGGCAGAAATGCCCCTACTAGTCTGAGGTGCACAATACAAGCTGTCTTCTTGTCATTAGACAGAGCTAAGTCACCTGGACTGATGAAGGTCTAGTTCTGTCTTTAAAGAGCTTCATCCTGTGGCTGCTTTGGCCACTTGTCCCTATTATTCCTCATTGGGGAGTGGGGCATAGGGTGGAAGAAGATGGGCGATAAGGAGAAAAAACCTTTTTCTCCTAAGACTCTTTCCATCTGCAGACCGTGACTGCTTCTTTTTCTGTTGTTAGCTGAAATATCTTCCAGCTCTGACAACGCCTACATTTTCTAACCCCTTTTCCTAACACATGGAATTGTCAACTTAGACATGTTGGAAACTGTCTTCATCACCTACATCGTTCTTCTCACTCCTGAACAGCTCTGTGCAGCAGGCAGGGACTTGTCTACAGGACCAGGCCCCTCATCAGGGCATGCACCTCTCCCTGCACTGCAGGCCCATTTCCCAGCACTTCCACATGGCGAGTGTCCTTTGTTCCAATCCCTTAGGAGTCCTGTTCTCTGCTAGAGGAGAGTGGCTGCTAACCGAGCCAGAGAGAGACTTGGTCCTCCCCTCCCCAAACATAATGCCCCAGGATAATAATCAAAGGCCTCTGTGGAGGAAATCAGTCTTGTGCTTTGCACATTATCATACTACTATTGATGAAGAGGATGTAAATGTAGTTATAATTAGCAAAACTAAAATCACTCAAAAGCATAACTGCATGTTTTATATCTCTTTGTTGGTATGTATTTTTCTCAGCCAAAGGATTCTAATAGAACCACTGTCAGGTGGAGATACTGGATGTTTTGTTTTCTTAATTTTAAACCGGATCAGTCTACAGCTGAGATAGCAGAAGTCCAGGCCCAGAGAAGTTCAATGACTGCCCAGAGTAAAACATGTAGCTAGAGGGCAGGTCGGGCTAGGAGCTGGAACAGGTCGTGGCAGTGTGTATCACCAGATGTGTTTCTGCGGAGCCCTGAGGCAGGTCTGCACAGAGCTGTGGCTGGACATGAGACCCTGGAAACCCAGTGTCCTCATGTGCTAAGTGAGGGCAAAGACCGAACGTGCCTCCCAGGGCTGCTGCCAGATGATGCCTGGAGAGCACTCCCGAGGGGCAAGCCGTAGGTTAGGTGTGCAGCGGAGGGTGGCCATTCCTCCTGTCTAAGGAGGGAGATGCTCGGCACCCCTCTTCTTCCAGCTGGGTTTTCTTGGCCCTTATTCTCTGACCACTAGCTCTTGCCTCGCCCCCTCACCAGAGCCCCTACCAAGTCCAGCCCCCTCCCCCGATGAGAAATCCCATTTATCGGCAGGAGCAGCTGAGCTGGGAAGATGAGGCAACCCAGGGTGCTTAAAGAGAAATAGCGTGAATGAAATCATCACCCAGCGGAGTCTTTCTGGCTCTGGGCATCAGTTGGCAATTGTTTTTTTAGACTGTGATAACGGGCCCCTGAGGAGCGAGGGGGGGGTGGGCGTAGAAGTTGTCAGGAACATCTGGTCCCCAGCTACACAAGGTGCCAGGTGCCCCAGGCTTGGGGCATGGCTGTCCAGCCCCACTCCCCATGCCCAGGCCAGCCTGGCCCTGGGGTCCCGGGTCCAGGGTCCAGGGAGGAGAACCTCCCGCCTTGGAGAAGCTGCTCTTTGGATAAATGCTATGGGGTGGGGAGGGGTGGGAGGACAGCGGGCAAAGGGTGCAGGTCCTCCCTCAGAGAAGTTCCACTTTCTCCTGGGCTCTGCCTATTCAGTGAGCCTACAGCTCTCCCACCACTTGACCCCTGAGGGCGGGGTTAAGTCCACTGGTAGGAGTCCGCCCACACTTCGGAGAGATGGCCCCTTCCTCCGTGCTGTGCTGCAGCTCTTCCCCCTTGGTAAGGCTTTCTCAGATTGTTAAATCTCACAGTCCCTTTCCCAGATTCTATAATAATCGGGAGATTTAAAGTAGGAAGTGGATAAATTTGCCCTATATTCGTGCCCCTCACAAGTTAAATTGCTTTCTGAGTAAGGAGAAATAATAAATGGTTTGTTAATAAATGTGGCAAGAAGAAGGATTTGTGTTTCCTTCCAGGAGATGCACTTGCTAAAAGTCTGCTGCATAGACTCCCACAGCCAACAACCTGAGTTCCCAGCCCTCCCAACTCAGTGGCATTTCTGGCAACATGCAGGCTGGTCAAAGGGGGCTCTTTGGGATGCCCCACTCCACAGAGGGGGCAGCTGCTCCACCAAACACTGGGCAGTCCCAGGCTGCTTCTTGGGCCCTCATCACTTTTGCAGATGGCCTGCCCCCCAGCTATCAGGGCCAGGGTGACACAAGGGTATTACAACTGCCTGCCCTCCAGAGGCCAGGGAGCCTGCTGGTCCCCAAGCCTGCCTGTGCCTCAGAAACACAAATCAAACAGATTTCTAGGCCTGCATCCTAGTCCTACTGAGTAAGAATCTCTGAGTAAGTCCTTACTGAGTAAGAATCTCTGAGAGAGGTCCCTGGAAATCTATACTTTTGACAAGTTACCAAGGTGATACAGATGCAAACCATCTACAGAAATGTGTTGGAGACTCACTGATTTTGATGCATATCATGTGTCCATGTAAACCAACCTAGACTGAGATGTTGTACCTGGGAGCAGGGCGCAGGCCGCCTGTGAACCCAGTCTAGGGCTCCGTAGGCCTCCTCTGGGGGCCCAGCGCCCCCCCACACACACACACACAGCCCAGATCCTTCCTTCCCTGCCTGATCTTCAGCTTGTCCTCCAGGAGGCGGTACCACAGCCCTCCACACCCTCCCTGTAAATAACTCTGGTATTTCTCCGGCCTGCTCTGAGGGCTTCTTTTTAGCCTTCTTATTTCTGTCCAAAGAACTCTCCGTTTCTTCAACTTCATAGGGATGTTTTGCCACCCCATATTTTAAACCATGGCCTGAGAGCCCCAGGAGCAAGTGGGCCAGAGAGAGCAGAGGCTTTGGAAAATGCTCAGGAGCTAAGCCCAAGCGCCAGCATGCCCACTGTCGGGATAGAGGGAGCAGTGGGGCCAGAGCTGCCCAGAGGGTGTGGTGGGGAGGGTGCTTCCCCAGCCTGTGCCATCAGAGACCAGGGGACTTAAAATCTTAGAACAAAATTTCAGCACATGATGAAGATGAAGAGTAGCCTCCAGTTCCACTTCTCCCAACCACGCGCTAGTCTTGGGGGGCTTGCAGGGGGCGAGTTAAGGAGCAGCGCACCCAGGCTAGAAGACAGGCTTGCTCTCTGGGCCTCTCCAATGCAGGGAGTCAAGCCTGCCTATCAGCCTGGGTGCCAGACAGCTTATGAGGGTCCCCTTTGACCTGAGAGCTCTCTGAGCTGTCGCTTCTGTTTAATAGTGAAGATTCCTCCATGGATCAGGCAAAGCCTGGACCAGAGCAGAGGCCAGTTAACTGCAGCAGACAAAGCAGAAGCTTCCAGGGTCCCTACTTGCACAGGCTCCTTTCACAGCCCTTCCTTTCTCATTCTAGATAAACATCCCCTTCTCAACTCAGAATTCAGTATTATTTTCTTCAATTGTATAAGCGTCATGCAACCTGGAGCTCCCCCTGGTCCGATGAACTCACCGTTGTATACAATCTTCCTTTACTGTTCATGGCAACAAAGAGGGCACTTCGCACCCCAAAGAGACTCACCACACCTCTCTCCACTGTGGAAATCTCCAGCAGGCCTGCAAGGAAATGGGAGCCACGTTACCTAAGGCTCGTGCACATCAGAGTGTGGACTTGGGCCGACAAGCCAGTTCCCTGCTCCTGGAAAGTCAGACCTCCCATCACCCCATCTATGATCCCTCTAATTTTAGAAGATCCTGGCTTCTGGACTGGTTCAGTCCTATCATTGTGCTGTTAAAAATCTAGTTCGGCAAGGGAAGGTTCTGACATCAGAGTTAGAGTCCAACCACGATGACCACTTATGTATCTATTTATCTGAGTTTCACTGACATAATCATTTGAGGTCCTTAACTTGGGTGAAAGAAATGAATTCTGATTATTAGTAATTTTAATGTATATTCCACATGTTTCAACAAATCTTAACCCACCTAATCTCACAAACATACAGCCACATAGAGGAGACTATCCACACAGCAACCTATCAACCTGTAGGATAAGAACCCAGGGACAGAAGGAGCAAGTTGAAATAAAAAAGATGTGCTTCAGCTGGAAATTTTGCAAACCTCTTGCATTTCCTTCTCAAAGAGGGAAACTAAATAAAAATAAGCTTGTGTCTCATTTGGTCCCGGTATCCTAACTCCTTCTCCCCACCCCTGCCTTATGGTTCCAGTGGTCTTACAAGGTGGCAGAGGGGCCGGTAATGCTGCAGTAGTTAGTGCCTCAGAGGCTCCAGGGGGTGAAGGCAAAGCACACCAAGATGCACGCTGAGCCTGCACCTAGGCAAGTCACACTGAGTCATCTACGTGGTGAATAACATTTCTCCCCCCGATTATAGCAGGATCCCAACCACCAGAGCAAGGTCCCTTCACCTTTTAGCTCTGCTTGAGCCCAAGCCCCCATGCATCCCAGCTGGCTGCAACGGGCACTCACTGTAGGGGTTCTCGTCGTGGGTGCCGCTGATCCTGCCGTCGGGGGGCACCTGGAGGTGAAAGCCGATGCCCACGTTGCAGTAGAGCCTCCGCTGCCGCTTGATCCCCACCAAATAGCCACTTTCCCAGTTCACTCCGGCGATCTCTCCAGCTAGCCCAGCGCGAGACCTGGATAGCAGGGTGCCCCAGCCCCTTGCGTCCAGCAGCGTGTTGTTGGCGCGGGTGCCTGTAGGCAAGGGCACCACCATGCCCACTAGGACGGCTAGGAAGACGAGAGCCTGCAGCGTGCCCTGAAGACGTCCTGCTCCCCGGGACATAGTGATGAACAGCCTCTGTCCCAGGGCCATCCACCTTGCCTCTCAGGCACGTGGTCAGAATTAATGGCCCTAAAAATACCGCCCTTCTTGTTTTTCTCCCCTCGGCATGGCGGCAGGGGCTTATTTTTGGAAGGCAGATGAAGGCTGCTGACATGAAACCAAAGCCTGCATCGGGCACTCGGGTTGAGAACACAGGGACCCAGGCTGAGCCGCAGCCGGTAGGGACCATGGCTCGGGGACGCTCTCTAGCTCGCCTGCTTGCTCTGTCCCGAGTTGATGATATTTGATTTGACCTATCTTTATAGTTAGTTCAGCAGCCTGGCCCTCCCCTCCAGCCATCATCACCCTGACGTCAGCCGGCCCAGCTTGCTTATCCAGGGCTGTAACTTTAACCTGCTCCCGGGCCTGGCTGCCTCCCCAGACCCCCATCACTCTCCATGCTCCCCAGGAGTTCTGGGAGGCACTGTCATTCCACCCACGAGGCAGGAACGGAGTGAGTAGGGAGCATCTCTGGGGGAAGGAGGGAGCTGGCCAGGGGCCCAGGGGAAGAGGGAGACCAGGACCCAAACTGGGCAGAAGTTCTTGGCCTGGCAGCACCGGCTTCCTTATTTAGAGGGCAAAGGGTAAAGATGGATGGGAGAAGGCATGGTGGCAGGTGATGACAGTAGCTTGCCAGTTACTCTTGAGACCTTTTCATGGAAAGAGCTCACAATTGAGGGGGAAGGGCCAAACCCTTTTAGTAGGAGAGCACAGGGAGCCGTAGGACTGTGGAGGGAGAAAGTGTTTAAAGTCCAGCTTGCCCTGCTCACCATCCTGGTCACCCAGGGTCAAAGTTATGTCTGGCCTTTGACAGCCCACTGGCCATTTTCCTCCCTGGGCTTATCCTTGGCATGAGACTGATATTATTTTACAGATGAGGAAGCTGAGGCTTAGAGAGGTTAAATGACTTGTGTGAGTTACCATAGCTCATGAGTGGCAAAGCCAAAATTCAGAGCATCTGCCCGAGTCAAAGCCTGTGCGTGCCTGTTGCTTGTAGCAGAAGTTAGATTTCCAGGCTGGCCCATGGAGTCTGCTTAGCTCCACGCTAGCGGCACATCATCGAATTATTTCAATAGCACAAAATGATTCATTTGTTAAGAAAAATACTTATCAAGTGTCTTTGATGCACATGGGAATTTCTGCATTTGCAGACAACTTTTGCTAGGCTGATATTACAGTAAAAATATTTCTGTGAAGAAGTTATTCCTACACCCCAATTTTCTTTTTCCATATTATTTTTAAGTAAATTATATGTTTCACTGAAGTAAAAAAAATTATTATTACTATTTTTTCAGAGACAGGATTTTGCTCTGTCACCCAGGCTGGAGTGCAGTAGAGTCTCCAATCCCTGGGCTCAAGCAATTATTCTCCTGCCTCAGCTTCTTGAGTAACTGTGACTATAGCTACTGTAACCAGCTAATTTTGAAAATTTTTTTGTAGAGATGGGGTCTTGCTATGTTGCTCAAACTGATCTCAAACTCCTGGCTTTAAGCAATCCTCCTGCCTTAGCTTCCCCAAATTTTGGAATTACGTGAACCACCACATGCAGTCTAGAATAATTATTTTAAAAGCTTCAAAAAGAAAAAAAACCCAACAAATTGCTGTGCAAATATTAGAAAGAAGGAAGTATGTCTCTGAGGGTGAAATAAATTACAAAGGTCAAATGGGGAATTAACTTGAGTTTGAAATCTCATTTCCTTGTCTTTCAATCCAGGTCTTAATCTGTTGGTGGGACAGCGGCACTGATGGTGTGGGGGCTGGGTGTGTGTGAGGGTGGTGGCAGAGGTAGGAGGGATGGGTTTGAACATGGGGGAGGGGGAGCTGGTTCCAGTGAACAGCTTCCTCAGCTCCACTCCACGCCCCACTGCAGGCTGCAGGCAGCCCAGAAAGCTCCTAGGGCAAGTTCTACCACTCAGGGACCCTTCTGAGGCACCACTACCGTCCCTCTGATTCTAAACCTTCTGCTCTGGCCTGCATCTTGGTCTCTGATCTGTGGCTTCTACCTGCTCTCTGCCCCTTTGCCTTGTTCATTGGCTTGATGCTTTGGTTAGAACTTCTGTATTTCAGTGTTGTCCTAGACAGGCTTTCTCAGATCCTGTGACGCCCAGACATCTCCTGTCGGTACACTTAGTGGGTGAACTGAGTGGGGACGGTGTAAGCACTGCTGTCACTACTGCCCTCACCGCCAGCCTCCTGTCTATCCTCTCCCCATCACCACCACTGCCTCAGGTCCAACTCACCAGCACCACCATTTCCCACAACAAGGAAAGATTGGAGCCTTGGGGCACAGATTGAGTCTACTGTGTAGGCCTTTGTTGGAAAATTGTTTTAAAAAAGAAAAGGAGGTTTTGGAGACATCTTTCTGCAGAGTAGGAAGGTCATGAATAATCCAAAGAAAAAATTGTCAACAAAAAGAACTTCATTTTGGCTTTCCAGCTTGATTCATATGATTAACCTTTCATGGATGCAAGAGCAGAGGGGGCACTTTCTCAGTGATGTTCAGTTTGGAAACTTCTCTTAACTATGCTTGTTGCTCTGGCTTAGGGAAGAGGCAGCCAGAAGCATGTTGGATAGTAAGAAGTTAGTCTCAAATTAACACTCGCTGTCGATAATTGCAGAGGTGCTCATTAGCAGAGTTCAGAACCTCTGTGGAATATTTCTTTGAACCCATTCACTTAGGGACAACCTTAGGAGAAAGACTAAACTGTAACAAGGTCCATGATATATAACAATAAAAATGGTAAATCTCTTTAGACTCACCTCACCCCAGGTTCCTGTCTACGGAGAGGTTGTAGTTGATGTCTTATAAAGCAATGACTTTGGAAAGAGGATGCCTGGATTTGAATCCCAACTCCACCACATATTCGCTGTGCGATCTGGGAATGTTTTGGACTTCTCTGAGCCTCATTTATTTCACCTGCAAAATGAGATTATTATTGCCTAGTGTTGTTACTGTGATTAGCAATAATATATGCAAAAGGCCCAGTGCAGAGCACACATAACTCTTCCCCAGACCTTTCTCTGAAACACATTGAAAATCTCTCATCCAATGAAATAAGGACAAGCCCAGAGTAAGAAGAGCCATCTCTCATCTCAAGAGACACGTGGGCTTCCAGTTCTTAATTGCCATCCACCAGAGCATATGTTGTGATGGCTGTTAACATATGCAGAAGCAGGCAGCCCAGATTCCTAAAATGTTCTGAAAACCAGTAATAGCCATGGTGTCGTCCCCTGTTAAATATAAAACTTAAGTAATTCATTCTATTAAAAAGCCTGGGTCTTATTTTTATCGGGTGATGTGATGAGGCCCTGTTCTAAATGCGCCTCCTGTGACTGTCTCTATAGCAACTCCACTGTGCTCATATAGCCATATATTTTTCCTGAAGGCTAATTAAGTTGACAACTGCAAGGGCTTCTTGGTTTACCAGATTTGCACTTGACCCCTCTCTTGGGGCTTAGGGACCCCTATGCATGTGAAGTGATAAAGAAACGAGCAACAGGTGGGGGAGGCCTCTCTCTGTGGACCCCTCTTTCACATAGCTGCCCAACTGCCTTTGGGGGCTGTCAATCACTCACGCTGGATGAGCCAAGATTTAGTGGAGGTGGGAAAATATGTTAACGTCTGTCTCCTACGACAGTGTCCTTGTCCCTGAGGGGGCCCCACAAAGTATAGGTTGGTCCAATTTGGCAGTGCTTAACTATTCCTCCTTTTCATATTTTCTGCATAGTACAACTGCCTCTGTCCCAACCAGGATGGTTGCCCTCTATGACTCCTGTTTATTATGTAATAAAGTTTGAATGCCTGAGGAGTGACCGTATGGGAAAGCACATAAAACTCAGAGGAGCCATGTACATGTAGCTAGTGAAAACATGTTTTTACTTGTACTTTTTACATTTGGTTTTGAAAAAAGTAACATTTACCTTTTCCTATAGATAATTTGGAAAACACTGAAAACCATACAGTAGAAACTAAAATAGCTGTTTGTGCTTAGTGTCTTTACACCTTTTTGTCTCAGTATCTGTCTTGGTGCTACCTTGGCACAGAGGCCTTGATGCCTCCCTTTATCTCCTCCCTCTTTTGCTGAGATGGGCACCTCTGCACCTACCCCTGGTGCTTGGCGGCAGAGGTTGCTCACAGGACTTAATTGGCACGAGATGGCCATGTGTAGAGATAAGGGTCTAGGAAGGACCCCTGCCCTAACTTGAGCAAAGAAGGGCATTTAGGGCTCATGAAACTTGCTACAGGAGGGAGAATTCAAGAGAAAAAGTTTCAACTGATCAAAGGTCTCAAGATTGGACTTCTGCAAGGAAGGGTCAGCTGTTATTTTGCTAGCTATTCCATGGAAGAACCTATATTTCATACTTTCCTAGTTGAACTAAACTTTTCCCTAGGTCTCACCCACATAACTAGGTGCCATTAACAGTCATAATCCAAATTTCCCTAGCTCTTGCTTCTACCAATGCATGTGGAACCTCAGCCCACGACAAATAACCCCCAAGATATTTCTGGGGTTCTAGGTCATGTCTCACATGTGTTTGGCATGACTGCTCCTGCCTGGGGCCACTGCAGGGCATCTGTGTGGGTCACCTCATCTAGCAGCCCTTCCACTTCCTCTGAGCAGCCCACGGTGTTACCTTTCTCACTACAGCCCAGTGCCTGAAGCCTCAAGGAGCAAATTTATGTTCTGTTTATGAAGCTGATTTATGTTCTGTTTCAAAGCAAGGAAGAAAGAACACCTTCGTCTCCTGCTTCATGTTACACCTGCTGATGGAATACCTGACCAGCACAACTCGTGCCCTGGTGATTTACTCATTCGCATTTTATTTTCAGACTCTCTGCCCTGCAGAGGATTCAGTCTTGTTACAGGTTGAGCTCATCAGGTGGGATTTCCTTTTCCTTCTGGATGGATTCTTTCTCCAGAGGAGAAATCCTCAGACAAATAGACTTATGTCTGAATCCTGGCATAAGTTCAGACAGGAGACCCTGCTCCTAAGATCCCTATACTGGGGAGGGAGGGAGCCCCCAGACACTCAGCCTTGTGGTCTGGTTGCCCAAGTGTTTGCAGAGTTTTCTGGTAGAAAGTCATATTCCTCTTCCACTCCAGAAATCATCTTCTTGGGTTAAAGGGATTCAGGATCTAGCCCGTCAATCAAGCCCCAAGCTAGGTGTACATTCCTCTCTTTTTTTTCTCTCTCTGTCCCACTCTCTCTTTCCCCCTCACTCCCTCCCCCTCCTTCCTATTCTCCAGCCATAGGTTCAAGCTTAGAGGCGTAGCCAACGGCCATGGAAGCAGCACCTCCAGGTTGGCTGATCACCACTGCCACACATCTTAGCTGAATTTGCAAAGGGGCAGAGGAGTCAGATAACTTTCTGGAACCTCAGAGCCTAAGGGATTTTGGCTCCGCTCAGAGTTTTGCGGTTTCTCAGATTTGCTTTCAAGATCATCATCTAATAATACCTGCTGCTGCGTGCTGTGCTGAGACGAGCATGCACACTGCCAGCGCCATGCAATGTTAAATAAAAGACTCAGCTCCCCAGCGTGGCAAAAAGGCCCTCATGTCCTGACTTCTCTCCGCCTCACCAGCTCTATTCCCTGCCTCTCCTTCTGTGGCAATTTTTGCTTCAGCAACCTCAAATGGCCTGTCATTCTCAGGCATAACTTTGTGCCCTGTCTGCCTCATGTCTTTCTCAAACTGGTGAATGGCTTCCCCTCTTTAAAGACTCAGCTTAAATGTCAGCTCCGGAAGCAATCCCTGACAGCCTTCCACCTGTCTCTAAGCTGGATTCAGTGCCCTGTTCCCCTCCCGCCCCGCCCTTGCCTCATTATCTCTATCACTGCGCTTACCAGATTTATAATCATTTGATGAGGTGCTCATTTGGATAGTGAAATCCTTAAGGCAGTAATGCTGTCTCACCCATCTCTGTACATTCAGAACTGAGCACTGTCCCTGGGACACAATATGGTTTATAAAATGTTTGAATAAATGTTGAGTTAAAGGCTTTGAATCTGAGTTTCATTGAATGAGTGATTCTCAAACAAAGGCCAAGCCCTCTCTGGTGAAGGTGGGACATACTAATTTGAAAAAAAGCACTTTCAATATTATGACTTGCATTTTGTCATTACAAAGAGTTACAATGGAGGCTTCTGCTTCTACTATGATGGAGAAACTTGTACTGGACTTGCACTCCCATATTCTTATAGTAAACAACAAGAAAACTGAACTAATAAATGAAACAACTGTTTTTAAACACTGGATAGCAGGCAGCACAGGACTATAATCCCTGAAAGAAGGAAACAAGTGAGATAGACCCTATGATCCCCTCTTCTTTCTGCCTGGAGTAACTTTCCAGACCTCAGAGCAGGAAAAGAAGACCCAAGCAGAACCCAGAGTTTATAGTGAGTTGAGAATACAGAGATTGAAGTTTGGGGAGGCCAAGGCACCCAGAATTTGACAGGTGAAGTACCAAAGAAGAGGGAGCTGTGTAGAGAAATAGTTGCAGACATCTGCAACTTGTCCTTGAGTTTGTTTCTGACTACTAAGCCACCCAAGTACAGAAATACCATGAGACCAGGAAAACACTACCAGGGAGCAGTAAGTTGGACAATTCTGAGAGCTCACCCAGGGCAGTTTGTGTTCAGAACAGCCAGGGAGGAAGAACTAGATGTTTTCAGTGGAGAATATTCAGTAGAGACCCCAGAAAGGTCACCGCACAGTGATAGGGATAAACAGTCTCTGCAGTGAGGCTTGGAACCTCTGTCGACATTTTCAAGACTTCTGCTTCCAGCCAAGATGTCATAATAAAAACTGGATTTACTCTCTGGCCCCAGATAACTAAAAAAACTGGAAAAATATGTCAAAGAACAGTTTTCAAGATATTAGATATCAGTCTGTAACAAAGAAGTGTCCCCTTGAGAAATGAGACACTGGTGTGAGTCCTACACTTGCACCAGCTTACTGACTTACAAGAGTTTTCAGCCATGGCATGGGGAAGAAAACCTGGGTGGATCCTGAAAAACACCTTGAATTGGGGACATGAAGCTAACTGAGGGAACTGAAAACCAGGAGGGCTTTCAGGGACAAGTACTAGAGAAGAAAAAGCTGCAAAGAGAGAACTTAGAGATATGCAGAGGGACTCCCTTGAGTGGCCACAGAGTACTTACCGATCAGCACCTGTGTATGCTACCTGAGGCTGGAGAAAGAACTAGGCAGGATTAGAAGGAGTATGTAGAGTGCACACGGGATTTGAAACAGTGCCTGCTCCCACCAGACAGACTGGAAAATATTATAATTCCTGGGGCACTGGGTTGAGTCTTGCCTCAATAGTGAGGAATAATTATCTACAGACTAAATGTAAATGCTGTTCTGATCCCAGCTAACAAATATTAAAAGAACAACATATAAAGGATCAATCTGTTTTCAATATGTTAAATGCACTCTAGGAAAAATTCAAGAATATTTAATACAAATAAAATATGTCCAACCCTCAACAGGGCAAAATTCTCAATGTCTGACATACTATAAAAAAATTCCAGTTATACAAACAGGCAGGATAATATGAGTCATAATAAGGAGAATAATAAAAAAGTTGAAACCAACCTGAAATTAACAGAGATGTTAGAATTAGCAGATAAGTACATTAGGACACTTATTATAACTATATTTCATGTGTTCAAAAACCTAAAGAAAAGATAAAAAATGTTAAGTAGAGACATGGAAGATATAAAAAGATCTGAGTCAAACCTCTGGAGGTGAAAACACAACACCTGAGATGAAAAATACACTGGATGGGATTATTGACACATTGGACATTGCAGAAAAAGAAAACATTAGTGAAAGTGAAGACATGACCATAGCAACTATCTGGAGACAAAATGAACCACAGAGAAAAAATAATCTAAAAAATGGACAGAGCAG